TTTTTTTTTTTCAAGAGTACACGAGGTTGACCGTTAGCTCAAGTTCTGAGAGGGATCGAAGGCACGCTCAATGTAAGACAGACTGATCGCTTTATTGGTGCGTCAACTTTCCGAGCAGGCAAAGTGACGTCCTGGAGTGGGGTGGGTAGTCCAATTACTGCGGTGTACGGACGGCGCCCGGACGATGGGTGGCGGGATGACTCGACCATCGGCCGATATGCATTCAATGGCCGTTTACCAGTTCACGTTTCACCCCGGCCCCTCGACAATTGGTCGGGTCGTCGTGGCCGACGAGAACCTTTTTCGAGGCCAGGAAACAGAGCATGATCCCGGTCTCGTCGATATTGTAGACATTTTCCGGCTGGACAGCGAACGACTCTCTTATTTTGCCACGGATGTTCCGATCATGACGACCCCAACCCGAGGCCTTCAGTCTTTTGGCTCCCAGTGTTGGGTGACGCTTTTAAAACCCCTGGGGCCAATTCTTGCCTGGAGGTTTCACATTATCTATTGGTCGTAGGGATTTGGGAGTGGGAGGATCGTTGACGTCGAAGGGCTTGAGCCAGCAGGCGAAGCCACTTGATGGAGAATGGGTGGCCATTCCTGGCGGATCGTAGGATGCATTCGACGAGGGCTTTCCCTTCATCGGAAGGTTTGCTACGGCCAGTACAGTATCAAGCAGGCCTCAATGGTACCATATATTAATCTTCGCGTCCTATTATATTATTGATGGTAGGTCATACCCGTATGTACTTTCTGGGCGATATTCCTGTGCTTTCAGCGCGCAGAGGAAATAGTGGCTTCCCACCATTCTCCAATTCTGGGTTGACAGGATTGGAGATTCTGCTTCCTTTTTACACGTCACCGCCATCCTCCGGGGAGGCTTTTGAGCCCCGTACTCGAAACCAAACGGCACATAATATACCAGCGGCGCTGAATAATCCAGGAATCAACGTCGTTAACGACCAACCTCCGGATTGTTGAAGGGTGCTCGATACAACGCTGAATATGATGCTCGCCGCCAGAGGAATGTTAAAGACGGCGAAGCCCATGGCTAGGGAAGTGGGACACAAGGACCGGCACTCCGTCATGGTCGAGACGGTAACTATCTCGGATCCTGTCCCGACGCCAAAGAGCAGCACAGCGAAGAGTACCTTCTGGCCCATGGTGTCGTGTGTCACCACCCGAAGGAGAATCCAACTGGGCACACAGATCACGAAACCTACCACCGCTGGCCAGCGAGTGCCGTATCTATCCACGGCCCACCCTGCAATGGGTCAGCAGTGACTTTCTCTGCGCGCAACCTAGAAGAGCTACCGATAAAATATCCTCCCAGAAGACCAGGTGCCAGTGGCGGGAAAAAAGCTAAGCCCGCCCCCAATGCATCCCAATGAAAGACTTCTTGCACGAAGATGGCCAAAGTATTGTCGAGTATTGTCAAGGACGTCGTGTTAAGAAATACGGCGCAGACGATGGCGTACGCAAGTGGCGTCCGTAGAAGTTTCCAGAGGACCCCGTTTGGGCCCTCGAGGGGCACCGCCGTGGGAGGAGGATGTGCCTCCACCGTCTTCTCAATGACGACCAGCCGCAGCAAGAAATCAGGGGCCAAGACTCCGAACGTGATTCCGAATGTGGCATAATACCCAATGCGGGTATAAATAACCCCTCCCAGGACCGGTGCCAACAGATACCCGAGGGCGATGGCCGTGGAAATGATCCCCATCGGCCGTCCAACGCTCCGTTCGTCATAGGCGCCGGCCAAAAGTGACAACCCTGCCCCCCAAGCTAACCCGCCGGATGAGCCTTGTAGAAACCTGGCCAAGATCAAGGTCGGCAAGGATCGAGCGAGACAGAGCATTAGCGTGGCTGGACAAAGCAGACCTATTCCCACTAAGAGAGAACGCCGACGGGCCCAGCGGTCGGACAACGCACCACAGAGCACCGTCGTGAATAGGAAGCCTACCCCGTAAACGCATATCAAGACAGACACCCAGTATTGTATCTCACCTGGGGAGATATGGAGTTGCTTCGCTAACGAGAAAGGCAGGATGGGGAGGGTGACGCCGTAAAGAAATAGATCCTGGAACCTTCATCAGTACATTTCCAAGACGACGATGGGTGCTTAGTAAGCGTCACCGTGAAGATTGCCCCTGCCACAGTGAGCGTCACAAAAGCAGGGGAAGATCGAAGGTGTCGGAGCATCTAGATATCATCGTCCGGCGGTATCCTACTCGTTTCTGCCCGTTGATCTGTAGCGATAATAGCGTGGTGTGTTGATCGGGAAGCGGCGATAGGCGGCACGATCTGACACCTCATCCCCTATCGACGAAACCCGTTCGCGTTTCCTGGGAGTTACCCTCTCTTATATATGATTCGGAGCAAGTTAAACATACCACGCAATGCCGAATGGGTCTGTCCTGGCGAATGCTGTCGGTATGATTGGGGCTTGATACCGTTTTGGCCTTGATGGGTCCACAGAGTAAGGACATGCGCGCCCTGTTAACGGCAGAACTCCGACTTCAGAACGTGGAACCGCCGAGAGGATCAGCCAAAGGACCGTCCGAGACCTTATTCTAAACCTGGCCAATAGGGTGAGCTGAAGAACAACCTGCCCAGTGCGTCGTTGGCCAGGTGGTCGCGGCCGCATCGCCAGGAGTTTACTGCTCGTAGTAAGGGTTTGGCTACGACCTTTACACCAATGATCTTTCATTTGGGCGAGAGTAGGGGCCAGGACGTAGTCTGACCACGGATAAATCTACGTACGTAACCTCCGCGATGGCAAGAAGAAAACAAGACCTATTTCCATATTCACGCGCACATTGGTGCCCTCCTGAGATTATCCGACCTACTGTACTCTCACTTGTTATAGAACAATCGATCAACGCCGTAGGCGTAAGGCTTTTCCTCATGCTATGTCACCCACTCGCACCAATTGAACACTCTCCAGATACTCGATAAGAGTGAGCGCGACCCAGGAGGATGCTTCGACCCTCCTGATGCACCCTTTGATAAGCAGTATCAGTAACCAGCGCAGTCACTATAAGGAGAGGGCGGCCACTATATCTCCCGACGCTGGGTGAATTTCTAACCAGCACCTGGCGGACTCCAGGAGAATGAAAGCAATTCTGAGATCGTTGCACAAGCCCCATCGGCGGCGAAGAACCACTCCTCGAAACGGCCTATGTGACCATCTCCGTCAAGAGAGGTGTTTAGCTGGACTTGCCTGTGTTCCCAACCCAACGCCGTTCATATCCAGTTTGCACGACGGCTGTAGGGTCACCTCGTGAAGGAGAGATTCCACTGCCAAATAAGTATTTTATGTGTTGCCGCTGGATGCTCCAGCGCTCCTGTATTCGGCCCACCACTCCAGCCTCGGCGACAATCTGTCGGAGACGTCTCTCTTTCAATTCTAGTTTCGCGTCACACAGTGTTTTGCACCTCTCACAAGATTCCGGGACCTTGTACGTTTGAAATGGATGCGGAAGCTCTCGCTGAACGGCGAAGCCACTTGGATCATAGGCTGATGAAACAGCGTTGTCCCGCCCACTCTCGTTCGATACACGAGATGAAGAGGTCGAGGACACTTTACCCTGGAGGAGACAACCGCAGCCCCCGTAAAGACAGTAAATGGTGCGATACATGCTGAGGTGTGATGGGGCGGATGGGTCTCTGGCGCTGCGCTGTGGGTTGGCGGCTTCACTAGGACGTGTCGTAAAGACGGGTAGCACAAGCAAGGTCCCCTCGAGGTTTTTGTGTTCGGCCTAGGGATTCTACGGTAACGCCGAAAACCGGCGGCATGGGGACTTTATAGCCCCTAGTATTCCCTTGCAACACGGGGGTGCCGGTTAACGAAATAATGCGGTCAGTCTGTTAGGCGAAAGTGATTAGCTTCTATTTTGAGTAGCTAGTAGTGGACCGAAACGGGACCGAGATGAAAATAGCAGGAGGGTATAGCTGGCTCAGAATGATGATTTCCATTTCGTCTTGTTCTAGCAGGGGAAATGAACAAGACGTAAAGGACTAAAAATAAAAGCGGAGGGTGGCTGAAATTAGGGGCGGGACGTCAAAAAAGGGTACAAGATGTAGAGAAGCGAGAAGAATGCAGCAAAGATACAGTCGAATCCGAATTCGGTCAACCTTGTAAACACAGAGGTTAGTTCGATTAAGGTAGACAACCAATCATTCACAGGCGTAATGTACGTACGGATTTGGCCCCTAAATTTCCGGTATTATTGCAAAACCGGTTTTCATTCGAGCATGTCAGAAGTTTTTTGGTGTGGAAGTAGAGCTAACAGCACGAAAGAGTGGAAGCGAACACGAAAGAGTTCAAGCGAACGCGAAAGATTCTTCATACAGTACAGATTGGATTGGATTGGATGGAATTCATTTACCCCGACCTCTCCCGCTTGATTGGATATGCAGGTTACAACTACTCGAGCCATCCTTGAAAATCTATCGTGCACTGGTTCCATTACATGTGCCAAGTTTATGCCTCGTTAAGGCCCGTGCTGTACTCTCGACTAAGCTGCCGGGGCCCGTGACTTGAATCTTTGGGATACTTCTGCAAATTCCCGCATCACATTGAGTCGCTTCTCGCTTGATCCCGCCATCGCTTACCCTCCCTTGCCCGTTACGAGGTCGCCCTCCGAGCATGGTTGATATGCATTTGAATGCATCGCCTACCTTTGCCTGCAATTCCCCAGGCCTCACGATGCGCCTCTCAGAGCACACACTCAGCGGCGACCTCGTCTTTCGCGAGTGCTCCGCTGACGATGTCCCGGCCTACGCCATCCTGTCGCACACCTCGCTGGCAAATAACAAGGAAGAGCTCAGTTTTCAAGATATAGAGGCAGGGACTGGCAAGAGCAAGGCAGGATGGAAGAAGATTAGGTTCTGCGCCGACAAGGCTGCCGCCGACGGGCTTCGTTACTTCTGGATAGACACCTGCTGCGTTGACAAGAAGAATAACACCGAGCTCTCCAAAGCCATCAACTCCAAGTTCCGCTGGTACCAGAAGACCGCTCGGCGTTATATGTACCTGTCAGATGTATCGATAAATGATGGTAAAGACACGCCTCATCCGGGCACCTTTCCCTGGGAAGCGACCTTCGAGAAAAGTCGATGGTTCACGCGAGGTGGACGCTTCAGGAGCTTCTTGCACCGACGCTGGTGGACTTCTTCAGTTTGGAAGGTGACCAATTGGGGAGCAAGCTGACGCTACAGGAGCTCATTCACAACATTAACGGCATCCCTGGTACCCGCTTTGAAGGGAGCCTCTGGAGACCTTCAGCCGTAGCGAGCGAATGTCTTGGGCGTCGGGTCGACACACCAAGGAGAAGGAAGACCAGTCCTATTCCTTGCTAGATATCTTCGACAAGTCCATGCCGCTCGTGTATTGAGAAGGCAAGGAGAGGGCTTTCGAACGACTCCACGACGAGATTGACAGCACCTACCGAGGCTCACACATCCCATTCACGCACGAACTGATCGATTCTGTTTGGAGGAGTCCAAAAAGGCATTCATATCTGCGTATAAAGTGACTTGGCTGTCTTAGGTGGAGATAGGATCGCATTGCAAATAGAGGAGTCGTTCACCTCGTTGCACCATTGACGCCGGACATCGTTCGAGGAAGTCATCTTGTTGTTGGAGTCCTATCCGGCATTGAATGATGAGCAACGTCAGTCAGCTATTCGAGATTTCAACACCGTCATCGAAGCCGATCGACCCCTACAGATTCATCTCTCGTCCAACTGGAGAATGAATCTGTGCGTTTGGGTGCCTTGAAGGACAATGCTCTACATTTCTTCTTCCAACAGACTTAAAATCTCCAGCGGCCTGCTGCACAATGAATTCACTAACCCCTTTGAATGCGGACCATATTTAAACTGTGCGAATGTTGTTCAGCAATAGGCGGGGACACGGCCGTCGGTCAGGCTGCTCGTGCAGTAGGGTTCGATGCTGGTCAGCTGGACGAGATTTGGCAGGAGAGCGTTTGCAATCCGCATGGGCTGCGGGCTCAATACTGTAACAAACTTCGCTGTCATTCTGAGGGCTTAGAGCACCCAACCGAGTTCAATCACTCGACGAACTCAACACCCCACGGGCTGCCAATATCGTGGCTGCGCTTTTCCGCCCCGCATGTTTCCTGCCCCTGGTTTCGAACTTCACCGCATGTGATAGAGTCAAGTTCTCTATGATGCTCACAAGACATACGGTACCAGGGAATAGGCAATTACGTTACCTTCAATTCGCAAAGTGAGCATACTGGATCGGGCTTCAATGAATTCAAGAAGTGGGACGCTTTAGAGGACCCAGAAACATGAGATCACGGACTAATCATTCCTGGCTCTGATTGTGGACAAAGATTGCGTAGCAATAAAAGAACAGTAACCTCAAACATACTTCTAAAACATGATCAAAAGGAGAGTATCACTATGCAAAGGTCTAACCTTCTTCTATTGAATCTTCGTGACGCCGTTTTCCGTTCGTAGTCATTCCAAAAGTAAAGCTTACACAACCACCATTCCCTCTAGGCTCGCTCAATAATACGCAGCTTAGCCGAACGGAACGAGAAGGGTGAAGGGATTAAACCAAGTCGTTGATGCTCGTATGAAAAACTATGTGCTTCACAATACAATTGCTGTGTAACATTTACAACTAATCCAAGTCTGCTGACTCATACTTTGTAACAGGAAGGTCTATTCTCTCAACTACTCAGTTCGTGTTCTTTCCTTC